TGCGCCTGGCGTGCTTTGGTGCCTCAAAACTCGTTGTTTCGTTGCAACCATTCCGAAATATTCCGAATACTGTATGGTACACCCCCAATAGATGAAAAAGTTTTGTAAACCTCAGAAATATGGGGGAAACATCATCGAACCATCCTTGTTTCACACTTCAATCCAGATCTTTTTATAGCCAAAAAGGGCTTAGAAACTGATCCCACAGATCTGACCATCCAATCCTTCCAATGCGAGGCAAATCGCCGCAGCCGCCAGAATTCGCCTGTCATAAAATCTTCGAGAAGGAGGGGGATGGGGTCAAGATATGGGGCCACTTGAGAAAATTTGCAAGACTTGGAAATTCATGATTTACCTTCTGGTAAACGTTTACAAAAAACGATGGAAAGATCCACCATGCTATTAGTGGGTAAATCGACGAACTTTCAATGGCTATTTTCAACAGCGATGTAACAATTTTCCAGAGGGTATGTTTCACCATGAAACAATTGGATTCGACCATGAAAAATCGGGATGTACGAAGCAAATTGGGATTCAATATAACGTGAGCGTTGAACCATCAAGATGAGGATCAGCATACTAACTGGCTTCACAAAGCATCACTCAGCATCCATGGATCAGCACAAAGCACCAGTGGATCAGCCAAGGTGAGGTCCCCGCGGCTACGAAATTGTCAAGTTGACGAAGATAACAGGGTTGTTGGGTTGATATGGGGGATGTAGTTCATGGGAAACCAACATGGATCACTTTTGTAGGCCACACCTTGTAGGTATATCTTTGACTTTTTGGTTGGTTTACCCACTGGTAAACATACAAATAGCTATTGAACATGGCCCGTAGAAATAGTGGATTTACCTATTAAACATGGTGATTTTCCAGTTCGTTATGTTAGTTTTGGTTGGTTTATGTTGGTTTATAGTTTGGCTACCTGGATTCATCGCGGACATTATTTGGTGGATCACTTTAGGGAGGCCCCTGCAGGATGCGTGTCGACACCAGCCTCGACAACATGGCATTTCAGCCCGCCATGGCCAGGTACAAGGTGGCTGGGTCTCGGCTTTCTCTAAGTGAACATTTCTGGGTTTGTTACATAGCTGTTGAAAATAGTTAATGGTAGTTAATGAGCATAGTTGGTAGTGTTAATATGAATTTCCAAGTGAACATTTCTGGGTTTTGGGTTGTTTTGATGTTGGCTCTTCGCACTTCGGACTATGGACTTTTGCATCCCGACCCTACCCAAGGCGACTTTGTTCCATGTGTAGCTGAACAGTCAGATTGTATATGGAGGTTTCCATGAACGGGGGTACCCCAATAGCTGCATGGTTTATTTCATGGAAAAAATAAGGAAACCCCTATTTTGGGAAACCTCCATGTGTATAAAACTGATGATCCCAGAATGAAACTCTTCTTGAAATGTCATCCCTCCAATCGTCTACAACTACAGCCTGAATCAGCTGCGAAATCTGGCCAAGGGTGGTGAATTCTAGTTCTTCGTTCATCTAAAAATCACCAAGAGCTAAAGCCAGCCCTTGGAAGCGGACATATCATCGGGAAAAACTGAAACATCACCGGCAATTGCAGGTAGCCAATATGGTTCATGATTGGCTTTGGCGACAGAAAAATGTGCCTATAAACAAGCCACGTCAGTCCTAGGATCAAACCATCCAAAGTTTGAGGGCAAAAACGTTTGATCCATGCCTGCATGGATTTCCAGTATACCCCACCTGATATGAGTGCCACTTAGTGCCATGTGAAAGAATGCGTCTTGGCTGCGATTTTTCAAACTTTGCTACACAGATCCATTTACACGTGTTTACACAAAAAAAATACAGGCTAAAGGCAAAAGTGAATAATTTCAGCCTAATTTTGGTAAACTAACATAAGTATGGAAAATCACCATTTTTAATTGGAGGACTCACTATAAATGGCCATGTTCAATAATTAGCTATGTTAAATTACCAGAGGGTACTTTTTGGACAAACCCATCTACTCCCAGCATGGCATCTTAGATTTGCATGGCTAATCTTAGATGTGCAAAAAAAACTGACAATTCCCGTCAGTTTTTATATTCCCTTGGCAAAACAGAAAAACAACTATACTATATAATTCTTGTGTTGTCAGGATATATATCCCCATGTATGGCAATACAAAAAAACGGCTATCTTTGGTTTACGTAGGTACCCTCTGGTAAACTAACATAGCTATGAAAAATCACCATTTTGAATGGGAAACTCACTATAAAGGCCATTTTCCATAGCTTTTTGTATGTTTACCAGAGGGTATATCATGATGTATCTATACTTCATGGGGCGCCAACCGCTAGGGCACCACCGATGGCCATTGCGGGCGACCCGGCAATGGTCGAAGCTGCGAAGAGGACCATCTCCCATGACGCCGCCGAAGAGTTCGTAGACACTGAGCGATGACCATGGTGGATGACAACTTCTCCAAGGGGCCAGCAACGTCTACAAACCCCAATGATGGGGAAGCATTTGGATCCATAGGGCAAGAACATGGAAAAGTCATCACCATTTTAGTAAAGGATTTTATTGTTCTATCTTTTCGAGGGGGGTGCTATAATTGCAATTATGATGTTATACACATGTAGAAAAACATTAACAGTACTGCCCTCTGGTAAAGATACAAAAAGCATCAAAAGCTAGGGAAAATGGCCCAGTCGAAAAAGTTGATAGACCCATTAATAGCATGGTGATTTTCCAGTTCGCTATGTAAACGTTTACAAAGCCCCATGACTGCCAGGGTCGAACTCATTTACCAGAGGGTACCATATACAACCAACCTTGGATAGGTCATAATCATAATATAGTACTTAGATGTACTTAGGTAAATCCCAATTTAACTCCCCAGTGATAGAAAAAATCCCGTTAATCAGTACTTGGTGGTTCATCCCACTTAGTAAGTAGGTTATACTCCTGGGCTAAGCAGAGTTACTTACAGTATTACTTTTAACTGGGGTGAAAAAAACCACTTACTAACTGGGATGAACCACCAAGTACATATAGTCTACAAACCTGGTGGTTATATAAAGCTGTAAAATATACCGGAGTTAGCCTTCACATGTATGTGAGCAATCTCGGAAACTCAAGCAGACTCAAGGTCCACAAAAAGCCCATCGAGAAATCCGTGAATTTGAGGGGGTATCGCTTGAAGGACAATTATGCAATGTGCAATGTGCACCTTCAAAGGGAGTATCACTATTTGGGCAGATCCCATTGCTTTGTGCTCACGATTTCTGCAAAACAATGTCCGTCCCTTGGATGGCCCTATTGCCGGAGTTTTTCTGGGGCTCATGTAGGTTTTACATACTAAAATGAATGCTTTAGCTTCGTACCAAACATGCCCCAACGAATGGGGGTGATTATTTTAGTCATATGGTCGAAAATTTGTCGAACAAGTCAATGATTGATCAACGTGGAATGATGGATCACTGGATCACTATGGAGCCGCCCAAATCTCTGTGGCCTGGAGGTATAGGTGGCCTTGAGTCCATCGGAGAGCGCAACCATTTCTCCATGCCTCTGAGACATACTGTGGGTATGGATCAGAATTCAAGACCTGGGGAACCAGAGATCTTTGCAAGAATAAACCATGAAATTATTGTCGTGCCCAATTCTGACCCATACCATCTCCCATACCCATATAGTAAGCAATGGGTTCAAGTACCTTCTAAAGCAGTGTTTAGGTTATGATTTAGATGATTTAGTGGCTTCAAATGGCTTAATTAATTGCCTTCTGGGGAAGCATTTGGATCCATAGGGCAAGAACATGGAAAAGTCATGCTACCATTTTAGTATAGGATTTTATTGTTCTATCTTTTCGGGGGTTACTATAATTGCAGTTATGTTGTTATTCACTTAATAGAAAAACATTAACAGCACTACCCTCTGGTAAACTAACATAGCTATTGAAAATTGCAATTTATAGTTGATTTACCCATTAATAGCATGGTGATTTTCCAGTTCGTTATGTAAACGTTTACCAGAGGATAAGTACTAACACTACTGTATTTCACGGAGATTCAACCAACTCCACCCACAATCAGGTAACTCTCTGCGGTTATAATGGATGCTTAATCCCCTGTTGATGGAGGTTTGAATGGAAACTCATCCATTTTCCAGGCCATTTCCCAGTGTCACAATTGATTGCCAGGAAAGAAATCAAAAAACAACACAACCTGGTTGGTGGTTGACCTGCCCCTCTGAAAAATATGAAAGTCAGTTGGGATGATTACCCGATATATGGAAAACTAAAAAATGTTTCAAACCACCAACCAGACAACGATATCATGAGGATTTCCGTTCTGGCTTCGGTTCCGGAGGGTATCGGTAGGTCAACGCTTGGCAGCCAACACACTACAACGACTGGTTCTGCAGCCTTCAAGCTGAAAAAAAACACACCACATGGTCTTGTCTGAGAGGGTCTGCATTCCATCCCTTCGTCGAAAGCAGCCTTTATCATTTATTTTCACGGCGTTGCAAGGTGGTGCACCCCCGATTTGAAGGTGGTTTATAACCACCATTAAGTGTGTATATATATATATGTATATACATATATATACACTGTAGTAGTAAATATCAGATATATCTATATCTGGTTGGTGGATTCAACCCCTCTGAAAAATATGAAAGTCACTGGGAAAGATTATCCCATATATTATGGAAAATAGAAACTGTTCCAAACCACCAACCAGATATAGCAGATGATAGCAGATATACTTTAAATTTTACCCTCTGGTAGTCTAACATAGCCATGGAAAATGGCCCATTTATAGATGGTTTACCTATTAAAAAAGGTTGATTTTCCATGGCTATGTTAAATCACCAGATGGTAAACCTTTAAACCCAAGTGAACTTGGAGTTATGTCCACCAACTTAGCCAAATTCATCGCTCACTGGAACACCACCTTTTAGGATTTCAGTGGACGTTCATTCTACCATCTCAGAATTCCCAACAGTGTCCCCATAATATGTCCCATGGTATCACATCAATTCCAAGATTATCCCATGAATTCCCATATTATCACATATCTAATTTTCACTCATTTTCAAAATTGTTCACTAATCTTCATTGATGCTCATTAATTATTAGTTGTCATTAACTTTCATTAATTTTCCAGATTGTCTTGTTCATTTTTGTTCCATCCAATTCCATATTCTCCCCAGCAGTTCGCATTCTATCCGACATTCACTGACTGAAGGCGAAAAAAGAAGGTTCGCGTCGTCTCCAACAGCCGGGGATCGTCTGCCTCACTTGACAAACGCAAACCTCTTTTGCTTCGATATCGGTTGCGGGACGTGTCAAACAAACTCAACGCAACCAGCAGAACTGACAAGGACATACAAATCGCCACTAGGAGCACCAAAGCTTTGAAGACTTGATGGCAAGGTCATTCGCTCCAGGCTTTGGTTGAACCTATCTCCAAAACTCAAGCTTTGAAGAGTCGATGGCAAGGTCACTCGCTCCAGGCTTTTGTTGAAACAATGGCCAAAACTCAATGATTGAAGACTCCACATGGAAAGGTCACCCGCTCCAGGCTTCGGTTGAAATGAAAGCCAAAACTCAATTGAAGACTCGATGGCAAGGTCACCCGCTCCAGGCTTTGGTTGAAATGCTTGCCAAAACTCAAGTTTTGAAGACTCGATGGCAAGGTCACCCGCTCCAAGCTTCGGTTGAACTCAGAGCCAAAACTCAAGCTTTGAAGACTTGATGGCAAGGTCATTCGCTCCAGGCTTTGGTTGAACCTATCTCCAAAACTCAAGCTTTGAAGGCTCGATGGCAAGGTCACTCGCTCCAGGTTTTGGTGGAAATAACAGCCAAAACTCAAGCATTGAAGACTCGATGGCAAGGTCACCCGCTCCAGGCTTTGGTTGAACATAGAGCCAAAACTCAAGCTTTGAAGACTCGCTGGCAAGGTCACCCGCTCCAGGCTTTGGTTGAACCTACCGCCAAAATTCAAACTTTGAAGACTCGATGGCAAGGTCACCCGCTCCAGGCCGAAATCCCTGCCAAAACTCAAGCTGTGAAGACTCGATGGCAAGGTCACCCGCTCCAGGCTCTGGTTGAAACACTCGCCAAAACTCAAGCTTTGAAGACTCGATGGCAAGGTCACCCGCTCCAGGCTTTGGTTGAAGCAAGCGCCAAAACTCAAGCTTTGAAGACTCGATGGCAAGGTCACCCGCTCCAGGCTTTGGTCGAAATGAAAGCCAAAACTCAAGCTTTGAAGACTCGATGGCAAGGTCACCCGCTCCAGGCTTTGGTTGAAATCCCTGCCAAAACTCAAGCTTTGAAGACTCGATGGCAAGGTCACCCGCTCCAGGCTTTGGTCGAAAGTCTCGCCAAAACTCAAGCTTTGAAGACTCGATGGCAAGGTCACCCGCTCCAGGCTTTCGTTGAACCCAACGCCAAAACTCAATCTTTGAAGAGTCGGTGGCAAGGTCACTCGCTCCAGGCTTCCGTTGAAACAGTTGTCAAAACTCAAGCTTTGAAGGCTCGATGGCAAGGTCACTCGCTCCAGGTTTTGGTGGAAATAACAGCCAAAACTCAAGCATTGAAGACTCGATGGCAAGGTCACCCGCTCCAGGCTTTGGTTGAACATAGAGCCAAAACTCAAGCTTTGAAGAGTCGATGGCAAGGTCACTCGCTCCAGGCTTGGGTCGAAATTCCCGCCAAAACTCAAGCTTTGAAGACTCGATGGCAAGGTCACCCGCTCCAGGCTTCGGTCAAAAAAGTCGCCAAAACTCAAGCTTTGAAGACTCGATGGCAAGGTCACCCGCTCCAGGCTTTGGATGAAAAACTCGCCCAAACTCAAGCTTTGAAGACTCGATGGCAAGGTCACCCGCTCCAGGCTTTGGTTGAAATCCCTGCCAAAACTCAAGCTTTGAAGACTCGATGGCAAGGTCACCCGCTCCAGGCTTTGGTCGAAATGAAAGCCAAAACTCAAGCTTTGAAGACTCGATGGCAAGGTCACCCGCTCCAGGCTTTGGTTGAACCTAACGCCAAAACTCAATCTTTGAAGAGTCGGTGGCAAGGTCACTCGCTCCAGGCTTTGGTTGAACCTATCTCCAAAACTCAAGCTTTGAAGACTCGATGGCAAGGTCACCCGCTGCTTTGGTTGGACATAGAGCCAAAACTCAAGCTTTGAAGAGTCGGTGGCAAGGTCACCCGCTCCAGGCTTCGGTCAAAAAAGTCGCCAAAACTCAAGCTTTGAAGACTCGATGGCAAGGTCACTCGCTCCAGGCTTTGGCGAAAAAAGCCAAAACTCAATTTGAAGACTCATGGCAAGGTCACCCGTTCCAGGCTTCGGTTGATGCCAAAACTCAAGCTTTGAAGACTCGATGGCAAGGTCACCCGCTCCAGGCTTTGGTCGAAATGAAAGCCAAAACTCAAGCTTTGAAGACTCGATGGCAAGGTCACCTGCTCCAGGTTTTGGTTGAAATCCCTGCCAAAAGTCAGCTTTGCAAGGCTGCAGGGGAGATGTTGTAAGTACTCTCCGTGCGTTGGTCCTTCAAGATGTGTAACGCCTTCAAGCGCAAACTCTCTCTCACAAGTTGGGAGTGCACAGGCATAACGCCATGCTGTATACACATCAGTTGGTATGTAAGTGCAGGACATCATTGCGTTTTTTCCAACAATCCCTTGGTCTTCCAAGTTTTCATCCAGTGTCAGTTTTCTATTCACACTATGCACGACGAGCTTTGCGCCTGCCTTGCATGAAAGATTCTTTGACACCAACCTGCGCAGGTCACGTCCAAGCATGGAGCGACTGACAGTCAGTGTCACTCCTTCCCCAGTCAAGCACAGCACCTGAAGCTCGATCTTATCAGCTTCATCTACTGCACCTTTGTCAGCAAATGATGGTTTTAAGTAGCCATATTGTGCACCCATTGCTCGAAATTTACACACGCACCACGAAAAGAGTGTAGCCGAAAGGTCTTCAATGCTGCTTGATTTTTCATCTATGGCCTGTCTTAGACCTAGCTGTGCTGTAAAGGTTGTCGGCTGTGTACAAGAATGGGGTGCCACAAAATCCAGGAAAATTCCGCACTTTGTCTCATGATTTTCCATATTAAATCATCTGATAAAAATCCATATCACCATAATTTCCCATATCCAGTTGTAAGTGGACTAACCCTATAAAAAACAATGAGAACTATAATACTAATAATAATAATGATATATATATAAATAGGATTATATAGGGATCGATACCCAGTTTTTATACCCTCCAGTCACCAAACGTAGTAATGGAACATCCCCCATTACAGGTGATTGATGCTGATTGTCTCATTATAACCTCCATTTAGTTCCTTGGTTTCCCAGCTGGCCACGTTTGATTACCAGAGGGTAACCAAAACTTGGTGGTAAACACATTCTCCCGTTGAGTGCGCCGTGAATTCTGGTGGCTTTCCTGTAAGGGAATAACTAACTATGGCAACTGTGGTGTTCATGGGGTGAAACTAAACAATTTAAAAAATAACAGCATAGCCTAGAAAGCAAGCCGTGGCTGTTTCCAACAA